AAACAGATCTGGAGGAAATGTGGAAACAAACTAAGATATTTCATTAAATGGCCATGGATGACACCTGGGGTTTTGAAGAAATATGAAAAAAGTTAACTTCATGATTACCCGATCTCTCCTGGTTGAGGCAACTGGTTGCAGGAATATTGGTGTTAATTATTTTAATATTGATTACTTGTGGCATGATACAATGTTCCCTCTGGTGTTGTAAACGGTCTATGATAAATTATGAAGATTGGAAAAGGAATGAAATTAAGCACCAAGTAGAAATGGGATATTATTTCAAAAAGACTTTTGATGGTAATGGTAATATACAAAATGTTGCAAAAGAATTTGCAAAAGGACAGAAAAAGGGAGGAATTTGAAACAAGGGGGCACAAAATCACAAAATGGAATATATAAACCTTTAGAATCAGTTTTAAGTAATATTAAGTTAGATGGCTTTGTAACAGTAGAAATGGAAAATTATTGAGGTGCATGATACATAGAGAAAAAAAGAGTACAGCTAGAGAACATACTGAGAGTTCTCACAGGATAAATCGTTATAGTTTGCATAGTTTTAAGAAAAACAGTCTAGAAGAAAAGGACACAGGGATAAGGAGTATCTGGGAACCTCATGTGTTCAGGATGGGCTACAGTTAAACTAACTGATAAGTTGGAGGACAGGAGGATTATTATGTCTCTGATGCTAACGAAGCAATTAAACTGGTATGAGCATCTACTGTGCATGCTTCAAAGGCTGCCAGAAGTGATGAAGACTGTTGGAAGTAAACGACCCTCAGAGACCACCACCACAATTCTGTACGCATGCGGGGAACACTCTGGAAAATGATGTAATCCATATGTGGCCTCATGAATATGTATGTATGCCCAGGGACTATATAAGGATGGCTTGTATAGCAATACGGGGACACACGTTAGGAGGAGCTATCCCTAGTGTCTCCTGGTGCCGCAATAAAGAATACCTGCTTGTCAGCTTGAAAACTTTGTTGGCAAGTTTGTTCCTGGAGTTTTCTCCAAATCACTCCACCAACTAATAAGAAAGAAATACAACAATTCTTGGGTGTTGTGTGGTTCTGGAGAATGCATGCCCCATATTACAGTCTGATTGGAAACCCTCTCTATCATATGCCCTGGAAGAAGAATGATTTCAGATGGGCCACTGAGCAATAACAAGCCTTTGATCAAATTAAATGGGAGATAGTTCATACAGTGGATCTGGGATGGACCAGTCCAAAGCAGGCAAGATGTGACATACGTGCTTTACACTACAGCCAGGGAGAATGGTACTTCCTGGAGCCTCTGGCAGAAAGCTCCAGGGGAGAATCAAGGGTCGACCCCTTGGGTTTTGGAGTCAGGGATACAGAGGATCCAAGGCCAAGCTATTCTCCAACTGAAAAAGAGATACTGGCAGCCTATGAAAGGTGTTGCAGCTGCTTCAGAAGTGATTGGCACTGAAGTTACCCATGCTGGGCTGGATGTTCAATGGCAGGGTCTCCTGTATGCATTACGTAATTGATGTTACATGGAGTAAGTGGGCTGCACTGATTACACATAGAGCTCGAATAGGAAATCCCAGTTGTCCACGAATTCTGGAAGTCATCATGGACTGGCCAGAGGGCAGAGATTTTGGAATGTCACCAGAAGAGGAGGTGATGCATGCTGAAGAGTCCCCACCATATAATAAATTGTCAGAAAGTGAAAAACAGTATGCCCTGTTTACTGATGGGTCCTGCCGTATTGTGGGAAAGCATCGGAGATGGAAGGCAGCTGTGTGGAGTCCCCTAGGACAAGCTGCCGAAACTGCTAAAGGAGAGGGTGAATCAAGTCATTCTGCAGAAGTGAAAGCCATCCAGCTGGCCTTGGACATTGCTGAATGAGGAAAATGGCCTGTGCTTTATACTAAGTCATGGATGGTGGAAAATGCTTTGTGGGGGTTGTTGCAGCAATGGGAGCAGAGCAACTGACAACGCAGAGGTAAACCTATCTGGGCTGCTGCACTGTGACAAGATACTGCTGCCTGGGTGCGGAACCTGGTGGTGAAGGTACACCACGTAGATGCTCATGTACCCAGGAGTCGGGCCACTGAGGAACATCAGAACAACCAACAGGTGGATAAAGCTACTAAGGTGGAAGTGCCTCAGATGGACTTAGATTGGCGACATAAGGCTGAATTAGTTTTGGCCCAGTGGCCCATGACACCTCAGGCCTTCAAGGCAAAGATGCAACATATAGATGGGCTCATGATCGAGGGGTGGACTTAATAATGAATGCTACTGCCCAGGTTATTCACAAGTGTGAAGCGTGCTGTAATTAAGTAAGCCAAGCTGTTAAAGCCTCTCTGGTATGGAGTACGATGGATGAAGTACAAATATGGGAAGGCCTGGCAGATGGCCTATATCACATTTCCACTGAACCTCCAAGGTAGGCACCATGTGCTTGATATGGTGGAAGCAACCACGGGATGGCTGGAAACATATGCTGTCCTCCTCGCCTCTTCCCGGAACACTATTCTGGTTCTTGAAAACGAAGTCTTTTGACAAAATGGTACCCCAGAGAGAACTGTGTCAGACAGTGGGAGTCATTTCCGGAACAGCGTTACGGACACTTGGGCCAAAGATCATGGCATTGAGTGAGTATATCACATCCCCTATCATGCACCAGCCTCTGGGAAAATTGAACCGTAAAATGGGCTGTTAAAAACTACCCTGAGAGCAGTGGGTGGTGGGGCTTTCAAACACTGGGATACACATTTGCCAAAAGCCATCTGGTTGGTCAACACTAGGGGATCTGCCAACAGGGATGGCCCAGCCCAATAAGAACTTTAATGTAATGTAGAGTAGGACAAAGTTCCTGTGGTACACATTAAAAATCTGCTGGGAGAGGCAGTCTGAGTTATTCCTGATTCAGGTAAAGGCAAACCCTCTCATGGGATTGCTTTTGGTCAGAGACCCAGATATTCTTGGTGGGTAATGCGGGAAGATGGTTAATTCTGGTTTGTACCTGAAGGGGCTTTAATTGAGGGGGGGAAAACAGCCAGTGATCTCAGTTATGTGCTTTTGCCTGCTATATAACACTTCTGTAGCCCACCTGCTAGATGCCTATCTCTACCACTCTGGGCTATGAAAACAAGTTATGTGCTGTCATGGTCATCATCCCTGAGTAGTCATGAGAAAAGGCAGCAGCAGCGGAACTGTCCTCAGGTCAGTGTTGACTGACCCTGACTTTCCTCTAATTGTTACCCCAACAAAGAATGAACTTTGATGAAACCAGAAGAGTTTCACCAGTGCTGTATTTGAAAATATGGGATCTGAGTATGATGTGAATGGTAAGGAATAAGGGGTGGATCCTGTCCTGGGTTCAGCTCTAAGTTATTTTTCTCCTTTTTAGTAGCTGTTGCCGTGCTTGTGTTTTTGAGTTTAGCCTGAGAAGAATGCCGATAACACGCAGATGTTTTTAGTTGTTGTTAAGTAATGCTGATCTTGATCAAGGACTTTTCCGTCTCATGCACTGCCAGTGAGGAGGAGCACAAGAAGCCGAGAGGATGCAGAGGCAGGACATCTGACCCAAACTAGCTAAAGGGGTTTTCCATCCCACACCATGTCATGCCCAGTATAAAAATTGGGGGGAGTTACCCTGAAGGGGCAGATAGCTGCTTGGGTTGAGCTGGGTGTCACTCGGCAGGTGGTGATCATTGTACATCGCTTGGGTTTATTGCGTTTTGTTTTTCCTTTCCCCTTTTAGTTTTATAATCTCTTCCTCTGCTATTTTTGTTATCAATATTATTGGTGGTAGTAATAGTGGTTTTGTATTATACCTTAGTTACTGGGCTGTTCCTATCTCTACCCATGGAATTCACATTCTTTTAATTCTCCCCATTCTTCTGGGAGCAGAGGGGAGGAAAGAAAGGGGGGTGGCGAGTGTGAGCCGCTGCATGGTTCTGAGTTCCCGGCTGTGCTTAAACCATAACATCAAGGGTAATGTTTGTGAAATGAAGTGGTTTGTACTCTGCAAATGTGAGCTGCAATGAAAATGGTTCTTTGTACTGTAATTCTTGTAACCCATGCTTCAGCTTGTGTGCTTAATTGCTGAGTAGTACGGCTCTGTGTCTGGAACAGCTGTATTACATCCTGGTGGCAGTCACTACTGTTATCATACCCCAGCAGTTCACAGTTACACAGAATTATTAAGGACTTTTTAAAGTATAGATGCAGTCTTGTGATCAAAATCGATGTGTGTTTTAGAAAGCACTTGCTGAGATCTCTCCTTTTGGATGATGAATAATCATCATATTTGCTTGTTTAGTTTTGATTTGGAGGGTGTAACTCTAAAGGCCTTGTAGTTTCTAATGTCTTTTGGGGAAATTTAAGTAAATCTTGTTGGGCTTTAGCCAGCTTATGAAAGGCCAATGTCAGTTGTGTTTAGTATACATCTGTATAGGTGTATAGCAAGTTTGGGATGTATGAAATGTCTTAATTTACAAATCCGAGATCTTACTCTGCATGTGTCACCAGTTTGACACCTGCAAGATAAATACTTCTGATCCTTTCATTTGAAAAGGGGGTGCAAGGAGAAGGAGCTGCTTTGGCTCAGTTCAGGTTTCTTGTTTTCTTCCCCTCCTTTCCCACCACCAAAATCTTGTCCACTGTGGTGAATCAAAAGAACTCTGCCCAGCTGAATATACAAATACAGTGATAAATCCTGAAGCAGTGGCTACTTGGTATGAACTTGGATGCCTTACATTTGCCTGTGGGTTTCCTAAAAGTAGAAACTAGACTGTAGGAGCTCTATTCAGAGGTCTAGGTTGTGCTCTCCTGTTTAGCAGCTATTTAGCACACAGTGTATGGGAAGTGATGCTGTTTTCATGCTGGCAAAATGTCAATATCTCATTCAGGCATGCCAAAAATTAACTGGATCCCGGAGAGATTGATTGTCCACGTGTGAAATGATTAAAATAAAGGTTTGCTGCAGCTGTAATTAAAACAAATTTTCTTTTGCAGTTTTAAAAGAAGGCAGGCAATTTACATATGAGAAGGTTGACTTGACCAACATTATGGCTATGCTGAACAGTAACGATGTCAGTGAATACCTGAAGATATCTCCACATGGATTAGAGGTAGGATATAATTTTATGATTCCAAGCTAAAAAGGAGCCTGAAGAAAAAGACAGTTTTTAACTCTTTGATTGCTACTTGCTCTTGTTATTTCCTGGAATAAATCGAAATTCTCTGCTGGCTTTGTATAGAAGTTTTGCTTTGTCAGAGGGTCCTAACATCACTATACTGATCTCAGCTGGAGAAATGTTCACACTGAAGTAACACCTGTATCTGTGCCCCAATACTTCAGAAGAGTGAGGAGGATCCTAGAATGGTTTAGTTGGGTTGGAAAGTACCTTAAAGTGCATCCAGTTCCATCCCCCTGCCATGGGCAGGGACACAACTTCCACTAGACCAGGTTGTTATGATCCCTGTCCAACCTGGCCTTGAACGCTGCCAGGGATGTGGCAGTCACAGCTTCTCTGGACAACCTGTGCCAGCGCCTCAGCACCCTCACAGGGAAGAGCTGCCTAAGATCTCATTTCAGTCTCCCTTCTGAGAGGTTAAAGCCATTCCCCCTTATACTGTCCCTACAGGCCCTTGTCCAAAGCCCCTCTCCAAGGTTGCTTAGGAGGCAGCTGGCTCTTCATGCATTTTGACTAAAATTGTTCATAAAGTATAATTAATCTATAATAATTTATAATAATAAACATTATTTTAATAATTTTTAAATAATATAGGAATTTATATAATTCCTAATTGTTAATTGTCTAGTCTTGCAAAGCCCATAGCAGGATTTTTGTCTCAGCCATGCGGCTTTTTTTCTTTCCCCCCCACACTACTTTTTCTAAGAACTTTTTTGACTACTTATACATGGGTTTTCATGCATTAACATTCAAATACCTCTTTGTCCTTCATACCAGGAGTCAATAACCAGTAACTTGGGTCTTCCTATCCTGGCTGTCTTAGTCTTTATTCTTTAAATTGACTCTGTCAACTTTCTACTTTTTTTTCTTTCCCTTGTGGCTTAACACTGAACAATTCTCAGTCTTGCGTACTACTAGTTTGTGTGACAATTCTTGCTATAAAGAGAGGTCACTTTCTGCCTGAAGTGCCTCTAAAATTATGTTGTTGTATTCCTATATGCAGAAACTTGATCCAGGGAAGAAAGGGGCTTGTTTGAATGCTCATTTTTTAGAAACTTAATTTTTTGTTTGGTTTTGGTAGGCTCGATGTGATGCCTCATCCTTTGAAAGTGTTAGATGTACATTCTGCATTGATTCTGGAGTTTGGTACTATGAAGTTACAGTCATTACTTCAGGAGTGATGCAAATAGGATGGGCTACCAAAGACAGCAAATTTCTCAATCATGTGAGTACATGTACTTGGTAACAGAAATATGGTATGTTTTGAGTGTGACAGCTTCCTTTTTAAAAAAATTAGGATTACAAAAACATGAAACCCTTCTTGCCTTTATTCTGATAATGCAGCATAAGTACACTGTCTTATTTTATAATTTGCTTTCCTCTCCCTGTCATCTAGGTAACTTAATATATTATTCTTAATTCTAAGTATTCTTCTTTCTACTATTAAAATCAAGTACTTATTAGCATTAAAGCAAAATGTGCCATGTAAACATGAAGTCCAAGCCTATAGTCAAAGAATAATCTTGACCATTAGTAGAGTTGCAACTAGAACTTATTTCTTCTGAAGTCTTTGTAGTAGCTCTGTATGCCTGTTGTAAACTCAGTATTCTGTATCATAATTTACTTGAGTATTTCCATAATACTAGGAAAGTATAACGATTACTACCCAAAAAACTTGTCTGCTTCAGTTTAGGGAGGACTTCCCACATGATCAGCCTTCCAAACTTTAATGAAAGTTCATTCAAGTGCAAGGTAGAATTGCAATACAGAAGGCGAGTGTGGCCAGCCTACCACCACTAACCACAATGGAAATACAGTGCTGGGATTTTAAATTGACATTACTACTGGCTGAGCTTGAGTAAGAAATGTACCTGTAGCCCTTCTTTATTGTTGTAATTGCATGGCTTTCTGTTTCTACTTGGAATTTAATTTAGGAGAAGAATTATATTTATATATTTAATGTAGAGATAAGCAAAACTGCTTATTTCTGATTGTTATAGGAAAAAGTCATTCTATAGCTGGGTCAAACACAGAAGCTAATATGAAGATAGGCTAAATACATCCATGTGAGTAAATGTTGATGGTGGGGGGTATGACAGAAATACATCAAGGACATGAAACAAACACCAGTGGCAAGAAAACCAAGGAATGGGAGAGTAGCTTTTCTTACCATTTAACTTCAGTCTTCTTTGTGAGTTCAGTCATCTTGCTTTATCTCTCCTAATTATTCATGTCAATAGCATTGTCCTCTACTGGTGTATGACATCTACATCACATCCACAGTCCAGTCCTGCATTTCTAGGAGGTTCTTACTTATCTGCCCTGAGCACAGGCATTGTAGATGTTGAGTGTAATGGAAACTGAAATAAAAGGCTGTGTGTCTGCCTTTAGACTGCTAAGAGACAAGATTTTTCACACTTACTGGTAAGGAGCTTGGTGTAGATGCATTTTTCTGTCTGTGCTTACTGTACAAGGTATGAAAAAAGGAAGTGTCACATCTGAGCAGGAGGATTTTTCTGTCGCTACAGCTGGTTGGCTAAATGCTGCTGTTCTTCAAGCTCATTGGGTGTGTACCTGAAATACATGGTATTATCTTCTGGGTATGTTGCAAACACAGTCATCAGAGTAGCCATATGCTCTTTACAGCATGTGTAACAAAAAGACTAGTCTTAAATGTGACATTAAACACCCATTAACTGGGCTTAGCTTTAATTTGAGAACTTGGAGGCTTGTGTAATCAGATGCACTGTCTAATATTTGCACTTCAGAAAAATCATTCTTAGCACAAGCTTTTTAGGCTGCATGTTTGGGCTCTCCTACGTGACAGATTCTTCTCCCACTCTGAAACTTTTAGTTTTGCATTTGTCTTGGACCTTGGCAGTGTCACTTGATAACCTCTTCGCAAGCTGAGGGAGGTTGGCACTGAAAGGGCTACAATATGCAACAAATCCGGTGAAGGGACGATGGGTTTGTTCTCTTTGTACATTCTCATGGCACTGGGATATCTTGTGGGGGAAGGTACTACAGGTCTGGTAGTGGGACTTCAAGATAAGAGGGTAGTTACAGTTCTATTTAACTTTTTAAGATACAAAAAATTAACCTAGCTATTTGGGTACTAGCCTTCTGATTTCTAAATATTTTAATAGACAGGATTGATTTGAGCTCACAGAGAATGAAACTTGGGAGACAATATCCCTTTCTTTCCCCCTCCTTATCCCAACAGATTCCTTCTGATGTGAAATGAAACTTAAGACTAGTTGGAAAGAATTGTCTATGTAGGTGGGAGAGCCCCTCTTGCTCTGGATGAGTAGTGTAGCTGAATAAAAATACACTTGAGCCCTTCTGTGTGAGGACTGCCTGTAGACTGAAATGCTTTACTCTTTTTCTAAAGGAAGGTTATGGCATTGGGGATGATGAATATTCCTGTGCCTACGATGGCTGCCGGCAGCTGATTTGGTATAATGCCAGAAGTAAACCACATTCCCATCCCTGTTGGAAAGAAGGTACTCAGTCCATCTTCTGCTGTTGATCTGGATTTCTGCACAGGACACTCTTGCAGGTGTCTAGAAAGCATTTTGTTAGTAGGTGGGAACAGAGCAGTTACTGCCTAATCTCAATGATACCGAAATTTTAATAATTATTGTGCCTTTACTAGTATTTGCAGTGGTTTAAATGTACAAAGTGGGCACCATGCTTTTGCTCCAGTCTGTTTAAAAAGAATCTGTTGGCTAGATGCTTTTTCTTTTAACGAGCAGAGTGCAAATCATAGCACCAAATAACATTGATGGACATTCAATCATAAAGCTTCTGTCCAGTTGTTTGCAATCCTACAAAACAGGGTTGAAATCTTTCTTCTGGGTTGAAAGAGTTATTTTAGAGAATGGAAAAAAAAAAAACCAACCAAACCCTGATCTCTGAATTAGACTTCTTTGTTTGTTTTAAGGAGGCATCGCACTGTCTTGCTTACTTTAAATTCTTGGACAGCAAAGTTCTGTTTTTGATCTCAGCTTTAAAATCTTGGTAGGAGTCTGTGCATGCCATGCTTGTGTGAACTGTGCTGCCTTCTCTTCTATTAAAAACTTCTCCCAAGGATGGCTAAATTAAAACGCTTCTTAAATAGCACAAGCGTGTTAGAAACAGGTTTAAGCAAATATGTGTTATGAGAATAGCTCCAACATGTGTAAACAGCCAGGGAGAGACAGAGTGCAGTTTTTTTCTGGCTTTGGCAAATACTTTGCAGTCCTTCTACAATTGTGCAGTATTATTGCTCTGGCAGACTAAAATATTTTAGTATTTTGCTATTTTCTCCTGTTTTCTTCTTTCTGTCTTTTTTCTGTCTATCAGTGTTTCTTCCCTTATGCTTTTGCAAACGATTCCTTTTAAGTGAGACAACTCATACTGAGATATGTGTTACTTAAAACAATAACCGTTTCAGCTGTTGACATTTAATGACTGAAATCTTTATCTTTGTTTTGCATGTAAGGAGACATAATAGGATTTCTACTAGACTTGCACGAAAAGCAAATGATTTTCTATTTAAATGGAAACCAGCTTCCTGCTGAGAAGCAAGTATTTTCATCTTCTATGTAAGTATGTGCTCACTTGGAAGGACAGTGACCTGCACAATAATTGTTTTAATTGTATGAAGTGTTTCCCATTTGAGATGTACATTCGTATTTGCTTACTTGAAGCCATCACTAAGCAGGTTTCCCAATTGAAAGTTGCTTAGAAATCAGTGAGATCATTTTACAGGTGGATTTCAGGGTCTAAAATAAATACTTTGAACTTTCCAAAGTAGATTTAACTTGATGTTTTCTACTGTCAAACGAGCACAGCACTGAAATAGAATGAGGTTGTAGCAAAGATGAACATATTTCTAGTAGTGCTTGAGGAATTTTTTTATCGGGGGGGAGGCAAGGCAAGGCACGGCACCTTAGTCCTGCAAGTGCTGAAGAATGTTTACTTACTGCTGCTCACTGAGGCCAGTTCCTGCAGTAGCATATTGAGTATTCATGGGACGGTGTATCTTGGTATCATTATAGAAAGGTGTTAGGCTTATTTTGACAGCTCTGTTAAAATTAACACATGGCCAACTCCTCTGATGCTCATGGAGGAGTGCAGCCTTTTAGTTCTGGAAAGATAAGCTGGTGTGATACTTGAGAAAGAAGCTTCTTGTGTAGCTTAACTAACCATTACAGTACTATGTAAAGTAATAATACTGAGCTAATAATTTCATTAATGTTTTCTCCTTAAAATTAAGTTCAAGATGCAAGCAAAGAGTAGTTCAGTTTAAAGAGTTGAAGAGTATCTTGTATATTCAACTTGTAGTTCTTCATGTGGACTATGTCATTTATATACTCAACAGATTCTGTTACTTGGTTAGAACTTAAGGTATTACTCAACTCTGGTCCTTTCAGTAAATAAAACTGAAAGAGGCAATAGTTGTGGTGTTTTTTACAAGGTGGCTGTGAAGAAGACAGCTGTCCTGAGGTAATCCTGCAAGGGCAAGAAGGAGCAGATGGTTGTTGTGCTCAGACCTGGATTCATCCAAGTCTATGAGCATTGTCATCCAAGTCATCCAAGTGTATGAGCATTGCAAGCTCTCCAGCTTCCTGCCTGTTCAAATAAAGCAGAGGGGAGTGGTGGATGTGGAGGTGTCCCTTGCAGCTGGTATTGCTCCACACAGCTATGCTAAACAGCAGCTGTTTGGAAGAAAAATATTTTTTCCAGTGCTGTAGGAGATATCTGAGGTGATCAGTGTGAAGAGGAGCAGGCTGTAGACTGTTCAGATGGATGTATCTGCTTTTAGAGTGTGACTAATCCTAACTGTAGAGTAGGCAGCCCTTATTGGCCGACTCAGAGTAAATTCAGCTAAACTCTGTTAGTAAATTCAAAAGCTGAGAACTAAATAAGGTGAACATCTGCAGCTGAAACTGGGTGTGTTAGATGCTTTTCTTGCAATTAGCTGTAGAACTTCCTATTGAAGGAACTTGACTCTATTTCAGGGAATATTTTTGTCTGGTAATAGTAGTAATGTCTGGAAATCTCTCCTATAGTTTAAGTCATTCTAAAATGTCTGTTCCTCATATTGCAGATCTGGCTTTTTTGCTGCAGCTAGTTTCATGTCCTATCAACAATGTGAGTTCAACTTTGGAGCAAAACCTTTCAAATACCCACCATCAATGAAATTTAGTACTTTTAATGATTATGCCTTTCTGACAGCAGAAGAGAAGATCATTTTGCCCAGGTAATCCTCCTGTCTAGATGCAGTGTGTTTGCATATGGAGAAATAAAATTATTCACTTCAGAGTTGCAAAGTCTTTATGTTGTACATAGCAACATTAATCTAACAGGGTCACAGCTCCATAGGTCTCCTTTAGAAAAGACTCGAGTGCAATTTAATGAGTAGGTATTCTGGGTTCAGCTGTAACAGTACTTTTTCTCCTTCTTAGTAGCTGGTGCAGTGACGTATTTTTGACTTCAGTCTGAGAACAGTGCTGATAACACATCGATGTTTTTAGTTGTTGCTAAGTAATGCTTGCCCCGATCAAGGACCTTTGAATTTCAAGCTCTGCCAGTGAGGAGGGGCACAAGAAACCGTGAGGAAGAAGGGACAGAACACCTGACCCAAAGTAGCAAAACCGGGTATTCCATCCCATGGCAAGTCATGCCCAGTATAGAAACTGGGGGGAGTCACCCAGAAGGCCCAGATTACTGCTCGGGTCAGTCTGAGAATCAGTGGGTGATGAGCAATTCTATTGGGCATCACTTGTGTTTAATGTTTTCTTTTCCCCTTTTGGTTTTATATTCTCTCCCCTTGTTATTTCCCCTTATCAATATTATTATTGGTGGTAGTAGTAGTAGTAGTTTTGTATTATACCTTAGTTACTGGAATGTTCTTATCTCAACCTATGGGATTTACATGCTTTCAATTCCTCATCCTTCTGGGAGCAGGGGGGTGAAAGAAGGGGGGGAAGTGAGCAAGAGGCTGCATGGTTCTGTGTTACTGGCTGGGCTTAAACCATGACATCATACTATGCCACACACCCTGCCACTTGTGACTGTCCAGCCTCAGAGGGATGGGGAGAAGAACTGAAAGAATGTACATACCTGTGGGAACCTTGTGATCACAAGATAACAGCTGTGTCTCCACCAAATAATAAGAAAGAAACACAAGCATTCTTGGGTGTTGGGGGGTTCTGGAGAATGCACATCCCAAATTACAGTCTGATTGGAAGCCCTCTCTATCACAAGCCCTGGAAGAAGAATGATTTCAAATGGGGCACTGAGCAATAAAATGCCTTTGAACAAAATAAATGGGAAGAGATAGGTCATGCAGTAGATCTGGTATGGACCAGTCCGAAGTGGGCAAGATGTGACATACGTGCTTTACACCACAGCCAGGGAGAATGGTACTACCTGGAGCCTCTGGCATAAAGCTCCAGGGGAGAATCAAGGTCGACCCCTTGGCTTTTGGAGTCAGGGTGTGGTGGTTTAACCCCAGCCAGACAGCTTGTCCCCCCCCCCCCTTCTTGCTCTCCCCCTACTCCTGGAGGGATGGAGAGGAGAATCAAAAAGAATGCAACTCCCACAGGTTGAGATAAGAACAGTTTAGTAACTAAGGTATAACACAAATCACTACTGCTGCCACCAATAATAGTAATGATAAAGGAAATAACAAGGGAAGAGAATACAACACCCCATCACCAGCCGACCGATAACTTGCCCCCCAGCCCGATCAAGCACCGACCGATACCTCCTCCAACCCTGCAGTCCACCCCGCCCTTCCGGGTAACTCCCAGTTACCACCTGGGCATGACGTGCTGTGGTATGGAATACCTCTTTGGTCAGTTTGGATCAGGTGTCCTGTCTCTGCTTCCTCCCGGCTTCCCTCCTCCCTGGCAGAGCATGAGGCCCACAAAGTCCTTGGCCAAACCAAAACATCATTTTTATCAGCTCTGTTCCCAGCCCGAAAGTCAAAACACAGCACTGCACCAGCTACCAAGAAAGAGAAAAATGAATGCTACTGCTAAACCCAGGACACAGGGATACAGAGGATCTGAGGCCAAGCTATTCTCCAACTGAAAAAGAGGTACTGGCAGCCTATGAAAGGTGTTGCAGCTGCTTCAGAAGTGATTGGCACTGAAGTTTCCCATGCTGGGCTGGATGTTCAATGGCAGGGTCTCCTGTATGCATTATGCAACTGATGTTACATGGAGTAAGTGGGCTGCACTGATTACACATCGAGCTCGAATAGGAAATCCCAGTTGTCCACGAATTCTGGAAGTCATCATGGACTGGCCAGAGGGCAGAGATTTTGGAATGTCACGAGAGGAGGAGGTGATGCATGCTGAAGAGGCCCCACCATATAATAAATTGTCAGAAAGTGAAAAACAGTATGCCCTGTTTACTGATGGGTCCTGCCGTATTGTGGGAAAGCATCGGAGATGGAAGGCAGCTGTGTGGAGTCCCCTAGGACAAGCTGCCGAAACTGCTAAAGGAGAGGGTGAATCAAGTCATTCTGCAGAAGTGAAAGCCATCCAGCTGGCCTTGGACATTGCTGAATGAGGAAAATGGCCTGTGCTTTATACTAAGTCATGGATGGTGGAAAATGCTTTGTGGGGGTTGTTGCAGCAATGGGAGCAGAGCAACTGACAACGCAGAGGTAAACCTATCTGGGCTGCTGCACTGTGACAAGATACTGCTGCCTGGGTGCGGAACCTGGTGGTGAAGGTACACCACGTAGATGCTCATGTACCCAGGAGTCGGGCCACTGAGGAACATCAGAACAACCAACAGGTGGATAAAGCTACTAAGGTGGAAGTGCCTCAGATGGACTTAGATTGGCGACATAAGGCTGAATTAGTTTTGGCCCAGTGGCCCATGACACCTCAGGCCTTCAAGGCAAAGATGCAACATATAGATGGGCTCATGATCGAGGGGTGGACTTAATAATGAATGCTACTGCCCAGGTTATTCACAAGTGTGAAGCGTGCTGTAATTAAGTAAGCCAAGCTGTTAAAGCCTCTCTGGTATGGAGTACGATGGCTGAAGTACAAATATGGGGAGGCCTGGCAGATGGCCTATATCACATTTCCACTGAACCTCCAAGGTAGGCACCATGTGCTTGATATGGTGGAAGCAACCACGGGATGGCTGGAAACATATGCTGTCCTCCTCGCCTCTTCCCAGAACACTATTCTGGTTCTTGAAAATGAAGTCTTATGACAAAATGGTACCCCAGAGAGAACTGTGTCAGACAGTGGGAGTCATTTCCGGAACAGCGTTACAGACACTTGGGCCAAAGAGCATGGCATTGAGTGGGTATATCACATCCCCTATCATGCACCAGCCTCTGGGAAAATCGAACCGTAAAATGGGCTGTTAAAAACTACCCTGAGAGCAGTGGGTGGTGGGGCTTTCAAATACTGGAATGCACATTGGCTTTTGGTAACAAAAGCCACCTGGATGCAGAGGCAGGACATCTGACCTGAACTAGCTAAAGGGTTTTTCCATCCCACACCATGTCATGCCCAATATAAAAATGTGCTGTCATGGTCATCATCCCTGAGTAGTCATGAGAAAAGGCAGCAGCAGCGGAACTGTCCTCAGGTCAGTGTTGACTGACCCTGACTTTCCTCTAATTGTTACCCCAACAAAGAATGATGAAACCAGAAGAGTTTCACCAGTGCTGTATTTGAAAATATGGGATCTGAGTATGATGTGAATGGTAAGGAATAAGGGGTGGATCCTATCCTGGGTTCAGCTCTAAGTTATTTTTCTCCTTTTTAGTAGCTGTTGCCGTGCTTGTGTTTTTGAGTTTAGCCTGAGAAGAATGCCGATAACACGCAGATGTTTTTAGTTGTTGTTAAGTAATGCTGATCTTGATGAAGGACTTTTCAGTCTCATGCTCTGCCAGTGAGGAGGGGCACAAGAAGCCGAGAGGATGCAGAGGCAGGGCATCTGACCCAAACTAGCTAAAGGGGTTTTCCATCCCACACCATGTCATGCCCAGTATAAAAATTGGGGGGAGTTACCCTGAAGGGGCAGATAGCTGCTTGGGTTGAGCTGGGTGTCACTCGGCAGGTGGTGATCATTGTACATCGCTTGGGTTTATTGCGTTTTGTTTTTCCTTTCCCCTTTTAGTTTTATAATCTCTTCCTCTGCTATTTTTGTTATCAATATTATTGGTGGTAGTAATAGTGGTTTTGTATTATACCTTAGTTACTGGGCTGTTCCTATCTCTACCCATGGGATTTACATTCTTTTAATTCTCCTCCCCATCCCTCTGGGAGCGGGGGAGAGTGAGCAAGTGGTTGTGGGGTTCTGAATTACCAGCTGTGCCTAAACCATGACATTCCGTATTTCTGAATGACAGTGTTGACAAAGGTTATTCAGATTTGGAAGTACTTTCCCACCTAACCATAAATCAAGGCAGGTAAGAACAGTTTTGGATATATTTTTCCTTAAGTTACCAAATTTCTGCTAGGAATGAAAACTATTCTTTAGTAATGAAATAATATACAGGAACACAAGCAGTGTACAAAGTGCATAGTGTAATCTGGGTTATAGCATACCCCAGATTTGCCACTTGGATTAAAGTACAACAACGTGATGCTGATGTTTGCAGTTGAAAAATAAAGAAAACTGTTGCACCTAATGAAGCGTAGCTCATCCAGTTCCAAACCCCTCCCACAGGCATGGGGACCTTCCACTGGACCAGGCTGCTTCAAGACCTGTCCAGCCTGGCCTTGAACACTGCCAGGGGCATGCATGGGGCAGCCACAACTTCTCTGGGTAACCTGTGCCAAGGCCCCACCACCCTCACAGTTAAGGGCTTCTTCCTAAGATCTCATTTCAGTCTCCCCCCTGGCTGGTTAATGCCATTCCTCCGTTTTATGTCATAGAATCATAGAATAGTTAGGGTAGAATAGGACCTTAAGACCATCAAGTTCCAACCCCCTGCCATGGGCAGGGACACCTCACACTAAATCATGTTACCCAAGGCTCTGTCCAACCCAGCCTTGAACACTGCCAGGAACGGAGCATTCACAACTTCCTTGGGCAACTCATTCCAGTGCTTCACCACCCTTACAATAAGGAACTTCTTCAGTAAGGAACTTCTTCAGTAAGGAACTTCTTCATTAAGTGTCCCTAACCAGCATCCCTATAGGCTCCCTTCAGATGATGCACGGATTGACTCCACAACTTGTTAAAAGTTGTTAAGTAGGTATGCTTTTATTCAGCGCTGAGGCGCACGGGAATAATTCCTCAAAGTCATGCGTGTCTCAGTGTTGTTTCCGTCTACATTTATCCTCTAAAGTCACAAGGTTGCCCAATACGCCTATACATATTCATATTCTATTCCCGCTTCGTATTATAATGACCTAGAAAGCCCTTTGCGCCTGCGCAGTGCCCCCTCTGGTCATGGGCAGGGGTCTCAAGATGAAGTAAATGAGTCTTCCTCTTGTGGGTAGGGGTCTTCAAGAGTCTTCCTCTTTTTGAACTTGTCACCTTTTAGTCTTCACATATGGCCTTAGGGTTTGGTTGGTCGCTGCTTCTCCTCCCCCCCCCCATCAGTCCTCTGCTTTTCCTTATCAATAGCTACTTATCAATAGAATCATGTCTCTGCTTTTCCTTATCAATAGCTACTTTTCCTTATCAATAGGACCAGGTGTCTGCTTTTCCTTATCAATAGGACTAGGTGTCTTTGTTCTGTTTAGTAGGCATTTACAACAGACAATACCTTGTCTAGGCAAGCAAATTCCTCTAACCCCCTGTACATTGGTCAACCCTCTGCATCACAGATACTGGAAGGCTGCTATGAGGTATCCACGCAGCTTTCTCTTCTCCAGGCTGAACAGCCCCAACTTTCTCAGCCTGTCTTCATACGGGAGGTGCTCCGGCCTCTGATCATCCTCATGGACCCTCCTCTGGACCTGCTCCAACAGTTCCATGTCCTTTTTATGTTGAGGACACGAGAACTGCACACAAGACTCCAAGTGAGGTCTCACAAGAGCAGAGTAGAGGGGCAGGATCACCTCCTTTGACCTGCTAGTCACGTTCCTTTGATGCAGCCCAGGGTATGATTGGCTTTCTGGGCTGTGAGCACACACTGCTGGCTCATGTTAAGTTTATCATCATCCCACACCCCCAAGTCCTTCTCTGCAGAGCTGCTCTGAATCTCTTCTCTGCCCAACATAGTCGTGCCTGGGTTTGCCCTGACCCAGGTGTAGGACCTTGCACTTGGCATGGTTAAACTTCATAAGGTTGTCATTGGTATACCTCACAAGCGTGTCAAGGTCCCTCTAGGTGGCATCCCTTCCCTCCCGCGTCTCAACCAAACCGCACAGATTGGTGTCATTGGCAAACTTGCTGAGTGCACACTCAATCTCACTGTCCATGTCACCAACAAAGATGTTGAACAAGACCAGTCCCAACACTGATCCCTGAGGGACACCACTCATTATTGGTCTCCTACTGGACAGTGAGCCATTGACCACAACTCTTTGTGTGCTGCCATCCAGCCAGTTATTTGTCCACTGAGTGGATGTCTCTCCAATTAAGAAACAAGGATGTCAATGCGGGACAGTGTCGAATGCTTTGCACAAGTTCAGGTAGATGGCTTCAACTGCTCTGCCCCTGTCCATCATTTCCGTAGCCCCATCGTAGAAAGCCACCAAATAGGTCAGGCAGGATTTCCTCTTAGTGAAGCCATGCTGGCTGTCACCAAGCACCTTGTTGTTTTTCATGTGCCTTAGCATGCCTTCCAGGAGAATCTACTCCAAGATTTTGCCAGGCACAGAGGTGAGACTGACTGGTTCCCTGGGTCATCCGTTTTCATTTTATTGAAAATGGGGCTTTTATTTCCCTTTTTCCAGTTGTTGGTAACTTCGCCCTACTGCCATGATTTTAACAAGGCCCTTTGAACAAGGGCCGTGTACCTACAGGCCCTTCTTTAAAGCCCCTCTCCAGGTTTCTTGTAGCCCCTTTAGTCACTGAAAGTTGCTCTCAGGTCTTCCTGGAGCCTTCTCCAGGCTGAACTAGTCCAGCTCTCAGCCTTTTTTCAGAGTAGAGGTGCTGATGATCAGATGTGATTGCTGTTGATGTCATTCTGGCACTGTTCTTGCAGTGTTTAAGCTTTAGCGGAGTGTTGTTGTTTGACTGTGCTAAAAGGTGGGGGAAACTTTTTCTGTTGATGCCTAATTTTAACTTTGTCTCATGTGATGGAGCCTGTTTACTATGTGATAGCACTGAAAGACTCCATTCAAGGTGGGACACTTGTTCTTTGTTTACCCAAGCATCATCCCTGCCTTAGGGCCTGAACTGTTTGGAAACATTGCCATTGAACAGTTTAGATGTGTAATGTGTTTTCCACATCTGAACTGTCTTATTTCATGAAATGGGGGATTTTTTTACTCAACCCTGGGCTGTTGGTTTTATTTTCAATTTCTATTCTTTTAAAGTAAACTGCGTTACAGCATTGTAGGGTTTCTGAATTTTGTTGATGCAAGGGTTTGTGTGGTTTACTTGTGGATTTTTTCACAACTCTTAAAAATACACAGATAATAAAGAACAATTTATTTGAAGTGTTCTGCTGTGGGAGCTAGAAAAATTACAATCTGACACCCTCTTTGTCCCTTTCTGACAGACCAGAATAGGGAGTTGAAGACTGTTTTGAACATCTCTGGGTGTGTTAAGCCTTTTTTGGGGGAAGTTATGATCAATGTTTATCAGTGGTAGTGTTGAGTAGCACAGGCAAGTGTTGCACTGGTCTTGATGCAACAGTTGGAATAGGTGTGAATCTATTATTTTGAGTCAGACTAACGGGGGGGGGGGGTGTCTTCTCCTTCAGACACAGGCGCCTGGCTTTGTTGAAGCAAGTGAGTATCCGAGAGAACTGTTGTACGCTTTGCTGTGATGAGGTAGCAGACACAGAACTTGGGCCATGTGGACACAGGTAAAACCTTAAAAAACAACCCAAAACCAAAGAAGAGGGAAAATGTGCATTTGACATTCAGATTACGTGAGATCAGATGCAGTCCCTGCTTATCTTGACTGACTCCCAAGTACAAAGGAAATAACCGTTCCTCTTCCAGATGTAACAGAAGTTAAGCATAGCATTCCCACTGTTCCCCTCACTATAGAACTGAGATTTAATCCTTAACTGTGTGTGTCTTGGGTTGGGGAAGTACTGCAGCTACGTACGTATGCTACCCCTGGGCTACTGAGTCTTTATTCCCTGATATCAAAAGTTTATTTAGAACCCTAGAATGGTTTGGGTTAGAAGGGACCTTAAAGCTCATCTAGTTCTAGCCCCCCTGCCATGTGCAGGGATACCTTCCACTAGATCAGTGCTTGTTTAGTACTGGTGCTCTGAAATCCAGATCACAATAGAACAGAAATTTCATTATATGGTCAAATACTCATTAAATGTTTAACAAATGGATTGTCTCAAGTCACAAATTTCTCTAAAAGCTAAAAATGGGACAGCAGTATAATACCATAATAGTACTTTCCTGCCTTTAAGGAGCCTACTAGGAAATTAATCCAGCTAAATCCTTAGTATTTTTAGAGCACTCGTGGAAGCAGTCTTGCCATGGGTCTGGATGCTGGAAAGTTAAAGAGGAGAGAGGTGCCCAGTGTGTGTCCACAAGAAGTGGCAACAGCTCCCCACAGGGCACTGGGACCGCTGTTCTCCAGACCCAGTGTCCAGATGAACAAAGTGTAATCCTGACCAATGGCGCTGGGTCTGTAAAATGCTGAGCAGCAGGAGCTCCTCTCAAAGCCTGTGGATCCACAACACCTGACTTGCAATTCCTAATCTCCACACTGAAAGACTTGGGTGTTCCTAGCAGGGTAACTAAACTGCTTAGTGCTTGGAGTTTTTCTTTCTTGTTTTGTTGTTTTTCACACTGTAAATGAAGCCTTTAACTGATTTTTCTTCTGCAGTGATCTGTGTATGGAGTGTGCCTTGCAGCTGGAGACCTGCCCTTTGTGTCGACAGGAGATACAAACCCGAGTCAGACAGGTCTCTCACATTTCATGACACATATGGAGAAATACCAGACTTGTTTTCAGTGAACTACAGCCAATGCTGAAAGGGGAAAGAAACTCCAACCAATCTTTATGCACATAGAACCATAGTCACCGCCAGATTTCATGCTAATCTGTTATCTGTTAATCTTAAAAATGAAATCTTTAATAAACGATTTCAAGTTGCCAGCAATGGGAACTGGTTTCAAGAATAAGGAGAGCTAGTAGTTCAGTGCACTATGGCTGTTGGTTCCTCCAAGCAAGACCATAGGAGACTGTCTCTCTTCTTCCCCTTTCTTTCTTGCCTGTCACAAGTGATGAAAAAATTTGCAGTGGAAGTACACATACAATGCATTTTAGAAAAGAAAAGAAGAGCAAATAAGTATCTCCTAAACCAGGGCTGTTTTCTCTTGTGCTCAAGTTTTTGGGAGAAGTCAGTACTAAAAAGAGAATGCCAATGTTTTCCTGTTCAATGTAGCCTCCTGCTGGTCAGAGACTATTTTCCAACAGTGGATATTAAACTGCTCAAAGACCTAATCCGTACACAGACTGATTTGAAAAGTCAGTGTGGAGACCAGAGAGAAACTCACATGTTTTAATAACCTTGTGATTCCAAAGAATGTTCTGATTTGTCTTTAAATGTTAAAAGAGTGGTAGTATTTTCAAGTTTCTGATGCTTTTAACTTCAGTACCCACATTTTTTTGTGGGGATTTAATTTTCAGGAGGTATTCTTCACTAATTATAACATTGTACTGGGATTAATTTCATATTCTGTGTGTTTTTTAAGGTATCATCAAACATCTCTTTTTAATCAGTGTTGGTTTTGAAAGTTTTATTGACTTTGGAAATATTGTGCTATTTAAAAGATTGGAAGAGAACTTGGGAACAGTTTATTTAAAAAAAAAAAGTTATTTGGACAGCAAGTTTGGTCTTATTCTGTAAGTCTTTTAAAAATGCACCTTGCTTGCCACATGTCAGCCCTGCTCTGAGAACATCTGGGGCCACACTTCATGTTTTTGGTTAGGGATCATCCACTGGGAATCTCTGTTCCACTTCAGTTACATGCTTGTGACATTTGTATGTCATGGTTTAAACCCAGCCAGTAAGTAAGAACTATGCAGCTTCTTGCTAACTCCCCCACCTTCTTCCCCCCTGCTCTTGGAGAGATGGGGAGAACTGAAAGAATCTAAATACTACTCTTTCTTTCCACTAATCTAAATAGGAGCAGAGAGGTCTGCACACAGGTCCCAGAATCAAGCTTTTTAAGAGTAACTCTTTCACCTGCTGCCTTTGCTAATGCAAGGGTGCTGAACGTCATCCAGAGATACACATTTTAAAAAAAAAAAGTGTTTCTCTTGAGCCTCTGGAGTACAATGTGTGAATTAAGACAGTTCTGTCCATTTTTCTTGTTGACTTTTTTTTCCAAATACAGACTGAATCCCAAACTGGAGTGCTGGTTAGCCTTTTTGCTAAAATGAGAATTCTGTTCTGCCTTGAATGCCTGTTTTGATTAGTCAGACTGCCAAATCTGTGCTGCAGGGACCTCATTTCCTTGCTGACTGTACTTTATGAGGTTTTGCTATAATCCACATTTCCAGTCAGGGCTGAGTCCCTCCCTGCTTGCTGCTGAATGATCAAATGTGAACACCATCACTGCCATGCAGATAGTAGAATTTCAGAACCACTTGAAATTAAGTTTTTTTTCAATGCTTCCAAATGCAATAATAGGTTTTTATGCCTAAGGCACAAAGATACAAACCGTACATTAGGGAAGAAGTGGGACAGAACCATTTTGAACTCTGTTTTAATAGATGGGCTTTGGTTGGCCTGGCCAGGACTAAGTGAGGTAAAATTTTCAGAAGCACAGAAGTGCCTAGGACTCCACATTCTGATCAACTGCTGTTTAAGCATTTAAGGCCCAGGTCCACAATGGCTTCTAGGTGTCTGGTGTCCCCTTGAAATGGAGGTGACTGAAGAGCCTTGCTGCTTCTGTGAACACAGGACTAAGTGCCTGCATTCTTTGTTGGAAAGATGTGAATGCTTTGAAAATTTTGCTGCGGATAATCTTCCATGCAGTTGGTGCTGGGCAGAGAAAACCAGTGGCGATGGAGGAGGGAGCTGTGTCCCAAAGAACTGTCATGTTTGTTTCACAAAGGGAAAGACTGCACAACTCGGCTGGCTTTCTGCTGAAATCCAGGATGGGGGTGTCTTTGTAAAGCTTGATCCTCCACAACTGCTGCCCTGTCCCCCTTGGTCCTTGCACACTCCAAAGGTGCTGGGGAGGGGAGGCAGTGGCTCCACAGGCCCTCAGGAAGGAAAAGAAATTGTAGTGAAGCCATCCATTCAACAATAAAACAAGTCTTGAAAGCTATTTGTTGTTCTTTAATTCTTTTGCTGCTGGTGAGTGCCAGGCTTCCAAACAGTGTGGTGCTGGATGGTGATGGAGGCAGCACTCGCACAAAAAGCTAGCTCTGAAGCAGAAAGGCGAGGCTAGTGCAGGGCTGGAGTGGGGTGGTGGAGCCGGCGGGAGGTGGGGGGAGCTTGTGTAAAGGTGGTGGAGCGCAGCCAGTAACCCCGGCTTAGAGTGCTGTCCTCCAGCCCTCAGGGCATGCAACATAAGGAAGCGCAGCGTCTGTGTTCTTTTATTTTCTCCTAGGGCAGCCCCTTGCCGCCGCCGGAACACCTTCAGACGCCACGTGGACGCCACTGCGGTGGGCATCGCCTTCCTGGCCGCCTCTGCTCTCCGACTGGCTGCGAGAGGGGAACAAGTAAGCGTTTCTCTTCAGACGGCCGGGCCGGGTGGCAGCAGTGCCGAAGGCCTGGCCAGGACGTAGATCAACACGGGCCAGGTACCTGGGATCAATGTCCAAAGCCTGGCCTGAGAGCTCTCCGGGACCCACTGGACCAGAGCAGCATCTTCATCTTACCTGGCTTCATTACCTTGTGTCTTTGTAATAGTCATAGATGCTTCAGGAGAAAAGATGTGGTCCTGGGTTCAGCAGTAGCAGTCATTTTTCTCCTTAGTAGCTGGTGCAGTGCTATGATTTCGAATTTAGTGTAGGAACAGTGCTGATAGCACTGATGGTTTTAGTTCTTGCTTAGTAATGATTACTCCAATAAGGGACTTTTTCAGTCTCATACTCTGCCAGTGAGGAGGGGCACAAGAAGCCAGGAGGAAGCAGAGACAGGACACATGACCCAAACTAGACAAAAGGATATTCCATCCCACAGCACATCATGCCCAGTATAGAAACTGGGGGGAGTTATCCCAAAGGGGCAGATAGCTGCTTGGGTTGGGCCGGGTATTAGTCAGTGGGTGGTGAGCAATTGTAATCTCTCCCCTTGTTATTTACCTTATCATTATTATTATTGGTGGTAGCAGTAGTGGTTTTGTGTTATACCTTAGTTACTGGACTGTTCTTATCTCAACCCGTGGGAGTTACATTCTTTCAATTCTCCCCATCTCACTGGGAGAAGGGGGGGAGCGTGAGCGGGGGCTGTATGGTTCTGAGTAAGAACTATGCAGCTTCTTGCTCACTCCCCCACCTTCTTCCCCCCTGTTCTTGGAGAGATGGGGAGAACTGAAAGAATCTAAATACTACTCTTTCTTTCCACTAACCTAAATAGGAGCAGAGAGGTCTGCACACAGGTCCCAGTATCTGCCATGATTCTTCAAATATGATTGACAGTGGCTTAGCAATTTCATTAGCCAGCTTTTTCAGGACCCACGGATGGATTTCATCAGGTCCCATGGACTTGTGCACGTTCAGGTTCTTAAGATCATCTTGAACCAGATCCTCTCCTACAATGGGCCCAAGGTCTTCATTCTCACAGTCCCTGCATCTGCCTTCCAAGACTTGGGTGGTGTGGTCACAACATTTGCCAGTGAAGAGTGAGGCAAAGAAGTCATTGAGAACCTCAGCTTTCTCCAAATCCAGGGTAGCCAGGTCTCCTGATACCTTACATATAGGGCCCATGTTGTCCCTAGTGTATCTTTTATTCTCAACATACCTATAGAATCCCTTCCTGTTATCTTTCACATCCCTATCCAAGTTTAATTCTAACTGGTCCTTAGCTTTCCTCACCTGGTCTCTAGCTTCCCAGACAACATCCCTATAAAATTATTTGTTCTCAGTGTTGTTGCGCTTGATCTCAGAGTTTCCCCATGTCCTACCTTACTTACAGTCAGTGTTTGCTGTTTAATGTTTATCAGCTGGGGGGCCTGGGCTAAGGTTCTTGTTTCACTATGCTTCGTGGTAATGATTTGTAATACAATAGACTCATTGATCATGAAACTGGTCTGGCTTGGGTTCCCAGGATGGTCATCACCTCTATATTTGGGAGGTATATAATGGAAGCTATTTACAGCAGCTTTTGAGAGTTCTAAAGGTTTTGGGTGGCCTTTGAATACCTTTGAGGCCTGCCTGCTGCTTGTGCTGGGGATCAGGATACTGTCAAACATACAGTATGTGTTTTGCTCACAGCCATACCACCCTGAGAACGCCCTATTTTGTCTGATCTTGAATGTTAAGCTGCTTCGGGTTTGGGTCTGGTCTACGGTTAGGTGATGATATAGGAAGACCAGCAAGATATTTTCCCTGAGGCTGGACAGTCATGAGTGGCAGGGTGTGTTGGACAGTACTGGAAAGGATCTAGGCCAGTGGGCCCCTCCAGTGCTTTGGAACTTCTACACTGAACAAGTGCAAAATCCAGAAAAAATAGTAAAACACTTAAACGAGGTATGTTGCCATCCTGGTAATAACAGAGAAGAACAAATCATGGCAATGTGCTGAGCCTTAGCCTATGCCTGCTCAACAATATTCAGCACCTTTAAAGGGAAAAAGATGTATCTGGATCTCATGACAAAGCAACAGACAGTGCAGCTACTCCAACTCCAAGCACAGCAGCTACACCAACTGCAGTGACAAGTACAGCAGCTACTCAAACCCAGACAGCAATAGACAACACAGCTGCAGCTGCTACTCAATCCCCAAGCACAGCAGCTGCACCAACAGATACTGCAGCCACTCCAACCACTGTGATAGACACTGCAGCTAAACCAAAGGACCAATCTGTGCCATAATAGGTTTCCCCTGTAAGCAAGGGGAAAAGCAAAGGAGAGTCACAAAGAGCAACCCATGCAGTGGAGAAAGATGCAGACGCAATGCACTCTACTACAGGGGACAGCATCTGAAGAAGAATTACTGATACGTGAATCAGAGGAAGAAGAAGAAGAGGTGACATCTTGATCCCAGACCTCGACCGAGCTACAGAATATGCAAAAAGAATTCAGGCATCTTTCAGGGGAGCACATCATAGAATCATAGAATCATAGAATCATAGAATCATAGAATAGTTAGGGTTGGAAAGGACCTTAAGATCATAAAGTTCCAACCCCCCTGCCATGGGCAGGGACACCTTGCTCTAAACCATATCACACAAGGCCTCGTCCAACCTGGCCTTGAACACTGCCAGGGATGGAGCATTCACAACCTCCCTGGGCAACCTATTCCAGTGCTTCACCACCCTAACAGGAAAGAATTTCCTCCTTATATCCAGTCTAAACTTCCCGTATTTAAGTTTTAACCCATTACCCCTTGTCCTATCACTACAGTCCCTAAAGAAGAGTCCCTCCCCAGCATCCCTATAGTCCCCCTT